AGATCATTGACTCGACTGACTATAAGATGCAATTAAAGGCAAGACTTTAGTGTTGACTCTAGTCTAGAGTGTAAGCATAGGAATGGTATGACATATACCTCAACGGATTATGAGAAGGCGGCGAATAAGAGAAAGTTCTGGCGCTAACTCCTGAATGCAACCGATCGGTGGTTTGATAGTGAACTGGAGTCCAATGTCTGGAGTCATGAGTGGAATCAGATTCACTGGTAGTTCTGGAGCGGGAGGGCATTGAGTCACATCTCTCGCGAATCGAGTTCTTGTTGGTGGACGTGCTCTTAGCTGTAGTGGTGGTGGCGGTCGACGAATAGGAGGTCCCAAACGAGGCTACATTTTGGTTGGTATGCGATGTCTGTGTGGGACGCCTACTTGAAATGGGTTTATCACTGGTGGACGCACTGCGGGGGCGCTGAGAGGGTCCGAAGTCTTCGTGATTTTTGGACGAACTCATGGCCGCGAGAATCACTTCATGCATGTTCTGAGCAATGGCTGAGTCCTCGGCCTGAATCCATATATCTCCCGGTCCTATACTCGAAGACCGGCCCAACTCTATGAAGAAAGTACTGGTCGTATGGCCGCACCGGCGGATACTTATCAATGGAAACTCATATACGTCTGGAGGATCTGATTGGGCGTCCACTTTAACGATGTATAGAGTGTTTGCAGTCAAACATAACCGATGGACACCATTCATGTTCCGCGTTTGGCCCAAACCATTGCGATTGATATTCACTTGCCATACATGCTCTGCAACCCATACATCAAAATATATCAAATCTGGTGTTATTACACTTCATTGCAAATATTGTTTTCATATGTAATTAGTAATATAATTAGACTAATTATTAATTATACATTTTTTTACATATGGTATTAATAGTAATGTGTATTCAATTGCTTTCATTTTTCTTATTTTGCCAAACATTTCGACTGATTTGAATAAATGTTAATTCAATATATGAATCGATTGCTATATACAGCAAATTTCTAGTAAAACCACTCTTTTTAATCTAGTCTTTCAGTATATGTTTTATGAAGTTCTCAATTAATAATAAACAAATGGTGTCATAAAGCATATAAAATTATTTTAAAGAAATCTAAACTAATTTGATATCAATATAGGTCTCAATGTATGACATATTGTAATCCAATACTCAAAAGTGGTGTCAAATTAAAGATAAAAACTAAAACAAATCTTTAGTAAACTATAACAAAAAGGAATAATAATTGTGCCATAAATTCAAAGCCTAATGTCTAGTCATGTCTAGACTTCTGGTGTTATTCATACGACAATTAATAGATTTTGTAATTCAATACAAACATTGAGTCCATTCATTGTACACTAAATAGACTGTACGTTGCGATCAAAATATGGTTTCATTTAAAGACTCATTTATAACAAAACATCGATTCTTCACACAATCAAATCAAACCTATTTTAGCCGTTTGTCTACACTTTTAGCTATCACTGCACTCCATGTGTGACCCACTTTGACCTGTCCCTCTCGCCATGTCCTGCCCTCCCCTTCACTCCCCTCACAATTATCCCAATGTTAACCTCAGACTAATTAGTGATCAAATAAATGGTAGTCAAGGATGTGATAATGCATACCGTATTGAATGCAATGACCGGTGCGGAAGTCATTGCACAGGAGCTGCGAGTCTACGAGCGCTTCCAACCACTGCTTCAGATTGTCCTCTTCGTCCACAATAGTGGTAAAGCAGTCCTCTTTGGTGTAGAGAGCGATCGCATACTTGTGTTTGCCATCGATTTTACGATTAATACTGAAACAGTCCTTCAGATAAATGACTCGTTTTGGCTGTGAATTGGCCGAAGAGTTCCTGAACTTCTTCTCGCTGTCGTAATAGCAAAGGTTCGCCTCATTTGAGTCGTTATTGTCTCTCAACACAAAATACTTCCTCTTCATTGTCTGCAACACACAAATCAAATGCCATTTCAATTGTTATCTCACGTTATAGTCATGTCTTTGGATGTGTTCAGTGATTGTGTATTAGAGGTATATATTCGTGGTTATGGGTCATTGATGTGTAATCATTGAATGCTTTAGGGTTTGAATGGACTCTAAGTGTGAGGATCTAATGGAGTGATGTGGTGATGGTCTCAAGAACTGAACCATCGGTGGTATGTATGGTATGGATGTGTATATGAATGAAGTGAATGACTGTTTGAGGCAATGGTCAGCATATAGTGTATGGCATAGTATGGGAAGGTGTGGGACAGGGGTGTAGTGGCTGTGAGTGTCATTTGGGACATACCTTCAGTTTCTTCATATATCCGGCTCTCTTCACGTCGGACGGCATCACGAAGTTGTCGTCCAAACACTTGACACCTTTCGATGTCTTGGATGTCATCGCTGGTCACTGAGTTGGGGCGCAGATATGTCTTGTGGGCACAAAAGTGGTTGAATTGGTCACAGTATTTGTGAAACACTCCACTCTTTGAATGGTTTCGTGAAAACAAGTCATTTGAGTGGAAATGTGGACACAATTAGCGGTTCAATGATAGGGAGACCAGTGTTGGGGTGACTCTTGTGGTGTGTCCGCAGTATTCAAGTGTCTAATGGACTGGAAATCAGTGAATAATAGCACTGAATGGCAGTATTATAGGGACAGACAGTGCGACAGACATTCACTTCTATGCACTGCTGAGTGTTGTCTGAAATGAAAACATATCGACTCTAACTCTAACCAACCGTTACGTCACTCACGCGTCACTTGTTTACTACGATTTGTGAGCCAATGGTAACACACAATAACATACAGTAGAGCACCGGTACTGCAACACCACTGCACACCACATACTGCTACCCTTACCACACCTCCATTTGATTGAATTGAATACCATCGATACTATTAATAACTATATATTTAGACATTTTATTTGACATTAAATTTATTGGTAATTAAAACAATTTTTATTAAAACTAATGAAAGAATAATTATTTCATTAAATATAGCGAAACATAATTAGAAAATTTAAATCACAAATATAGCAATCGGTCGGTCATTACATTGTGGTTATAATTCATACGCGAATCCACTCACGAGACATATCATACGAATCCGAAATTCTTGGTTTTGATTGCCATCAGAAGCTTTTGTCGCAAAATGGCTTTCGATGAATACAGAGGAATATAGAGTCTGGAGATACACCTGAAGACATGCAATGGTTAGATGGTTAGGGCATTCAATACAGTATATCACATGAATGGTTAAGAGTGTGTGAGTACTGACGTGTTAGCGGTCGCCAAATGCAAGTCATCGCGCGGTCGGATCGTTATACTCGGCATCGGCTGAAAGCCCTCTTCGCTGGCCGGCAATGAAGGACTTCCGGTCCAGAAGTAAATCAAATCCTGTTTCTCTTGATTTGTCATCTTTTCGACGACAGACCAAAACCATCGCTTGAAATAAGACAAGTGTTCGCTTCCATCACCACTCTCTGGGATCATAGATAACAATAAGGATTATCATTGGTTTGGCGTTTGTTCAGTGAATGCAGACATACCGTCATTGAATGTCACATAACTGATCAGTAATTGAATGTTTATATCAGAAATTCCATTCAAAAGGAGACGAAAATCTTCGGCCTTTAATGAAATAAATCAATTAAAACACATGTCTATAGGTCTCTAGGAATGGGTATAAGAATAAACTGATTGTTACAGTGAGTCCTTCCAACGCATTGGTCGGCAACACGTCATACACTCCCTGACGAAGAGCCTGTCATTCAATGAAAGGAAAAGTTTAATACAGTATATAATCAATGAATGAAATGGAAAGTGAGTGTCAAATGGCATACTTGAAGGGCCCGTTCCTGTGAGCGAACCATTCTGTACTGAGCATAACGTCTCACGTAATCATAAATGGTTTGTGTCGTCACTTCGACGTTACGTCCGTTGGGGATGAGTTCAACGGTTCCGCCGCCCTCTTCGGCGTTGAGGTCAACAGAGAACCTGAGATCGAGTTCTGCAAACATGGAGTCATTGCCGGATTCCGTGTCGACAATGAGTTGACGTAACGACTCGTAGAGGACGGGATCAAAGAAGGCTAAGTCGTGCCATGAGATGGTTCGCCGAAGAATGTGTTTATAGACGTGTCGGTTGAGATTAAGAGGACACAACTCGTTCTGAAGCAAACATAAGCCCATAATTCGGCCCACATTTCGGAATGCATTGATGCGTTCGGCCGAACACTTGCCCTGACGCGGCGAATAGAAGCCACGCTTTCCCGGCTGATAGAAGAGGGGGGCGTTGTCCTCCTCGTCCTCCTCTTCCATCTCCACGTCCAGAGGACGACCCGAACTACTGGTGGGCGTCGTTTTGGCGCCGGCGGTGGGCACTGACTGCGAGGTTCGACTCAAGTTAAACATATCTAATTCAAAGAGACTCTCGGATGTGGTGTCCCGTCCGTGCGATAGGATTATATCGACCGCTTCGTCCACTTTAGCCCTTAGCGTGTCTTCGGACGCGAAGAGAGTGAGGAGCTGTGCGGGCGTCAACTCTAACAGCATTCCCGTTATCTTACTGGCCAGCGATGGTCTCAACTGGTGAACCCTCGGGTATAACCGCATTCCCAACTGTTGTCTGTGAGGACTCAACAGTTCATTCAAATTGACTGAATTATTGACTCCTTGTGGTGACTGTTGGGCCGTCTGGTCGCCCGGCATCACAAAAGGCGGCGCTTCGTAACGCAATTGTGTGAACACTTCTCTATCAGCTCTTTCGCGAGAATTAGTGCCGGAGTTGTGGTCGCGCGACGAGCGACTGGCCTGATATGCTCTGCGCGCCTGTTCTCTCTCCCTCTCTCTACTCTTCAGTCTCTGAATCAGATTATATTGAAGCGAACGATTCGACGCGTGACACGACTCCAGACTCGGGAGCTTATCGGTGGATAGGATGGCCTCACAGAATGCTGAATAGAAACTACGGGCGACACCACTGCCCTCCCCGGGCTCGTCCTTAAAGGTCACTTTGACTCGAGAGACCGTGAGAAGAGGTGTTCCCACAGACATACGGCGACTGAAGTTGTTGTACATTGTGTTCAGTTCTTTGAAAGTTTGTTGAATCAAAACACTGCGATCTCTGTCCAGTTTGGAGAAACTGATGTCTCTCTGTTGCGAATTACGGAGTCTTTCCATTTCGCGCCGGAATTTAGACTCTTTGACAGGAAATCCTCCCAAATCGCCGATTATAGAGCCCGGTTCGGCCCCAACATCGTCCACAAACACGCGCCCGAATAGCTCTAAAGTCAGTCTCCATCGACCCAATAGGTTGTCGTGTTGTGTCATATTTCCTATCAGTTGTTGAGATTTGTTTGGCAACGGATGTACTCTTTCGGCGGTTTCTCTCACTATTGAGGAACCATTTGGTTGAGCGCTGATAGGCTGTGCTCCACCACTGCTGGCACTAGTATTTTGTTGGGAATGCTTTATAGAACCGGCCAATACTATGACACTCGGTTTAGTGGACGCACTCATCACCGGCACTATTATAGGCGCTCTCTGGGTCTCAGCGATCACCGACTGAGGTCTTGGACTCACGGAAGGGGTGGACGACATATTCAAGGGAATGGCATCAAAGTGTGCACTGCTTTGAGAACTCGATTGAGATAAAGATTGTTCTCGTACTTCACTGTTAGACGAATCGTGTGTCGCGCCTCCTATAGCTTCAGAGGGGCCGAGATTTCGATTACTTAAACCTAATCGCGTGGGCAGAGAATCAAACATCTCTTCAGCGACATTAGATGTGGTCGGACGGGGAATACCAAACAGTTGTTCGCGTCTGGAGTTGGGTTGCAAGAGGTGCGGGGCGTCAGCCAACGGGAGGGCCTCTGTAAGTGGGGTTGAGAATGGGTCGGGTGGGGGACAGCCTAAGAATAGTGTCGATTCCGAGCGTTGGAAGAAAGTGTGTCTTCGGCTTTTAAATTGTGGCGGATTTTGGGTGGAGTCCTCTTCCATGGGACTGATATCTGGCAATGAATACGACTGAACGGCACTCAACTCCTCGTCCTGTTCCTCAATGACGTCCGATTCCTCTTCATTAGTCCAGTTCTCGGCGGACATTAGATCCGAAGCACCAATTCTTCCACTGTTTGGATTTGAGTCTTCGGATCCGCTTTTGATAAAATAGATCAAAGAGTCGAAAACATAGGCCACGTGTTTGAGTGCCGCCACATCTAAGACGGGCAACGAATCCAAGTGTTCGCTACTGTGGGCTCGCATTAGAGACATGGCGTACGACAAGAAGTCTTTACGCGCAGACGTCGAGTCAAGAGTGTGGTGACTGTGATGGCCTGAAACGAACCGATGACCAGCTGTTGCACCGCTTCGGCGAGAACTACTCATACCGGCGCGCGAATCACTCGATTGAGTCACGCGATTCTCATCATTCAAATTAACTCTTCGGGCACTGCTTGTCATGGGAACAGTTCGCGAACTTTGAGGTTGAAGTGTGGCTGAAGCGGTCGCCTGAGTAGACAAACTAAAAGCGCCGCTACTGTTGGTGAGGGCGCAGCCAAATCTAAGCTGTCCTTCGGTGGAGTCCATGACATTCATGAGCCAATCCCACGTCGGTTTGAGACGCGCTTCAATGAAATTCATTAAATTGTAAGATTCGGTGAAACTGATGGGCAATGAGTTGATTCCCGGGACCACTGAAATCCTCTCCTGATCTCGAAGTGTTGGCAATAAGTCAGAGATTTGTCGGATAACTATAGCGAAAGCACGGGTCAAACCCACAGTAGTCGTGGCCATTGAGACCGTTTCGTTAGCGGTTACAGTGGCTGTGATTGGAGTTACAGTAGTAGCAGACCTACGGATAGTTGTCGGGTCTATATGTATCAAACCTGTAGAGCCGGATAGTCCGCCAGTGTTTGAAACCCTCGAAGTGGTAGCGACTCCGGCCGTTGCTGTGCTCCCGATCTCGCGCTGCCTTAAGGCCCACTGCAAGTGTTGAGCCAAATTGGTTCGCCAATTGGCTATATTCCCAGAGACGGCCCCCACTGTAGCGCCCGATGGGTTGGCGGCCCTTCGCTCCAATTGTTCGTCAATGAAAGCTAAGTCTTCAGTGTCGGGCTCTGTCTCTGCAGTTTCGCTCTCTTCCTCATCCTCTCCATTGGAAGAGTCGGCCGATTCCTCTTCGGAAAAGTAGGCCAGACTGGGAGCCCCGGGATCACTGCCAGCTGTGGCACCTGTGGTGGCGCTCCTCTGAATGCTGGCGTTATCGATATTGCTTTGATATGAGGCGTCGTCGGGATTTGAGTCCGAATCTGAATCACTCTCTTCGTGGTGCCCATCGTTGCCGTCAACGGGCTCTTCGTGTTCACTACTCTCGTGGTCCACGTCTTCCTGCCCTACCATCACATCCACTTCATGTTCGTCGTCAACGCTTCCGACCACAACATCGACGCCGACAGATGCGTCGACTAACGGCACGATTCCGCTCTGACTGTTGTTTACATTCAATACTTCCGAAGAAATGACTGACATATCGATGGCATTGCCATCATTTCGTCGACTTTGAGATAAGACAGGGTCGACAGCAAAGAGCTCTTCACTTCCGGTAATGGCATCCGATAATGTAGTGGAGAGAGAGAAGGGAGCTGTGGGTCGGGCCACTCCCAGGCGAACGGGGGATATAAGCGCGTCAGCGATTTCGCACAACTCCTCGATAGCGATGGGAAGCAATGCCTGAAAAACGCGCCGACATTTGTGGAGCTGTGAGGAGACGGCGCTCTTCTTCCACGAAGAACTCGGAGACGTCAGAGATAACACACTTGTGTTGGCATAAGAGGATGGCGTCAATTCAATGCACAACACGATTCCTATGCGGGCCACCGATCGCACGAAACGTCTGGCCACAAGTCCAGCCTCTTTTGCTACACTTTGCGATGGATTCTGAGACTCTCTTATGATTGTCACCAATAAGTTGTCGACCATTTCAGAGCCCACTCTCACCAGAAGAGAGTGCGTAAACTTATCCAATAAAGCGGTTCCGTTTTGACTGCTGAGAAAGACCTGCTCTTCGGCGGCGGCATAACTGTTGCCTAAACCGATATTCTGTTTCTTACAACTGGCCGCAGCCGGTGCTCTATAACCCGTTAGAATCATAGCTTTGATGGCATTCCAGTCGCCGAGAATCTTGTCGAGTGCTTTGCGAGCAAATCGCGGCGGCTCTAAGTCGTGGTCAGGCATCTCAGACTCTATACTCCCCATAGCGTCGGGTGCTTTACGAGTGATGGCATTGCGTGATCGCGAGGGTCTGTACTGTCGCTGTTCTATCATTTGTCGGCCAACCGTTTGCACTAAAAACAAGAGTATATTCTCTCCTCGACTGTTAGGATATGTGACTAAATCTGTTTCGGCTATAAGACGCTTAAGGAGTGCGTATCGCGAGGACTGGCAGCCACTGATCAATGCCTTGCACTTGCATTTCTCCCAACAGTCGCAATAAGCTGTCGGTGAAGTGCGCTTCAGTTTACAGTCGTGTCCCTTATGGCAGACTCGCGCGCATTCAGTGCAACAGCAAAGAGAACCGATTAAACCACAGGTCTTACACTCAAAGATATCCTGATTGATGTGTTCGGCACCCGTCCACGTGAAGCTACAGGTGTCGTTGCAGCACAATAAATGTAGGGGTGAGTCGTCCGGGTTTGAGCCCCTGGGGTATAGCATTGACATCAAAACTTTTTGTTGAACTTCCGGATCAGTTGAGGATCTCTGGGCTAACTTTAATGCCATAGTCATCACGTGATTGGCGGCCGAGTAGGCCCTACCGCTGACGGCGAGCATGAATGGCGTGTATCCCTGCGAGTCCTTTGAACTCAACAACTCTTTCATAAAAGGCCGCAAAACTGCTGAGTCTAATAAAGTCCACAGAATCGAGTGAGCGATCGGTTTCTGTTCTGTCGGATCCAAAAGCGGTTCATTAGAGACAGGACTCGCTTCGGGAGGATAATAGATCATAGCTATGGGTGCGTTAGACTCGGAGTCGCAGCTGTCGGCCGACGGTTCGATACTTCGTTCTCTCAATTCATCACTTCTGTCACTATTGGGATTCAGTCTTCCGGACACTGATTTCGAGGCTCTCCTCATCACGTCTTGAAGGGAAGCGTTTCGGGCGTCGAATGTCTCGGCGTTGGGGTCTTCGGCGGGCGTCGAGTCGAATGTTTTGTTGGAAGTGGGAAAACAGGCGCAGACAGCCATGTGAATGATATTGCGATTGCCATCACAGCGCTCGCTGACCACCACCTGTTGGGACACCGACTCCTTCTCGAGCGACGCCAGAGTGAGGCGAACCAAATCGGGATCACTTCGAAGTATAGCCGGAGTGAGCAATTGGTTTTCGAGCGCTAACACAATGATCGCCACCTGATTCTTCTGGTTGGGGATCGTGTCACGGATGGGGTGAATACCAATGCCTATGGCCTGTGCCGGAGACATGTCCAGCGAAATGGGATCTCTTATGGATTCGCAACAGTCTTTGGCCAATGGATATATGGCTCCATTGCCATCGCGTACTATAGTTATGATCTCATTCTCGCCAAAACAGTGCAATGATATCAACGACATGTCCTGACCCAAGAAGGCGGACGTGTCGGTCGGGAATCTGCTCTCTTGTTCGACTCGACCCGATGTGATATTGAAGACAATATAATTGAGTTTTGTTCCGCTTTTGACGATCGCATGAATGCCAACATTGCTGACAGTCATCGCAATGATATGAGTGCTGTCAGGAATGTGTACTTTTTTGGGCAAACGTTGAAAACAGTCCAACACTTTGGCACAAGTGCTCCCTTTCACGAGTTGGAGCTCGTCTTTGCGCAAAAGACGACATTCCTGTAGTACTGACTGGACATCACTGTCATCCGACTTAAAGCTGTGTTCGCGACCGGTATTGAACTTAACGGCGGCGTAATTGCCGTCAATCTTCAGCACACGACCGATCGGTACGTTCTTCACGTCCTCAACAAATATCACGTCTTTTAGACTCCAGTTCTCCTCTACTTTTTCATTAACTTCATTATTGTTTAACACATTATTACTGCTGTTATTATTATGTCGAGGCTTTGAACGTTTGGGTAAAGGACTACATCCCGGCTCTGAACAGGTAGACGACGCGGGCGATGGCGGCGGAGGCATCTCCAGGCGCTCCGTTGACGAGGCCTTCGACAGACTGGGACTGGGAGGCTGTTGCTCTTTGATTGATGGCTCGCTATTGCGAACCACTGAAGGGGTCGCAGAACTGGTCGATGCAAACGATATCTGACTACTAGTGCTTCGCTTATATTCATTGGTGTTCAGGATTTTGAAAGCACACGAATCCGTTATATTCCAGGCAGAGGCCAATAGTTGGCCCACTTTTGGTACACCTCCGCTAGTAGTAAACCCAATGGCACCGGAGTTATATGACGGGCTGTTTCTGAGACACACCTGAGCGCCGGTCACAATATCACTGGACGCCGAGGATGAGGTTTGTCTTTGCTTTTTAGTCTTTGCTCTCACTTTCTCCCAAATCTTCTTACGGTGCGAATAGGGAGCGATTCCCCACCAATAGATCGCTCCGGTATCCAGTCTTACGCACGACAACAGCGATGAGACATTCAAAGAGACTATTTTGGAATCACTGTTCAGGGCTTCGGGTAATGGGATGAGACTGTGCTCTAACTTAGAGGCGATGGGCGCCACACTGTCGTCAATAAATGTGGCGACTTTGCAGCTCTCAGTGGCTACCGATCCCCGAATACAACTGCCCGACAGGTGTGTTATCTTTTCGTTTAGGAGTGACAGAGTCGGCACTTTTGGGTGAAAGTATGCGATGCCGTCGATTGTTTGAGGTCTGAAGGGCTCGCTTTCATTCCACTTCCATTGCCATAGCTGTCCAGTGCTGGTAATGGCCGTCAGTTCCGAATAAAGGGCAGCCATTTGGGTAAATCGTTTGTCTCCAGAGGGCCAGTACTCGAGCTGTTCGCTCACATAAATCGGGTTAAGTTGAGTGCTATCCGTACGCTTGCGAGTCGTGGGAATGGCTTCGGGAGGCGCTGAAGTGACCGCACACTTTGATGGGTCTGAAGCGGAACCGGAATCTCTTAACGCGTATTCAAGCCATCGTCGCGACGAAGAGGCACTGGATGTCGGGTACTGGCGCTCCGATGCGAACCGCAACATATCCCTCTCGACAGCACTCGACTCGCGCTCTCTCTCCACACCAGTAGACGACGCGGTTCTGGCGGACAGTCGATTGGCGGCACTCGAGCGCACTCTTATGGACGAGTAGCTGAAGACATCGTCGGGGAAGACGGCGTCGGCGTCGATGATGACCGACGCGTGATCGTTGTGAATGCCGGCGTCCAATAGCGACATGAGGTCATCGCTCGGCAAATACGACTCCTGACTGTCGTCCATATCGTCCGCGTCCTCGTCATCGCGACTCAAGAGGTTATTGACGGCGAGATTGACGTCCAAATTGGTTCGTTGGAGTTCACGGATTATCAGGTTTCGCGACTTTCCCTGCAAAACAACCTGAGCCTGAGATACCAGGTCTTCGGGAACAAACGGCGCGGGAACTACAGGACGTCCGCCCATTATAACGCTGGCGCCGCCCCGACCCCTCCCGTTGCTCGACGTCCGCAGTATTCTTCCGCGTCTGGCGGCCGGACTCGACCTTTGATTGGAGGCCAGAGTCGACACATGACTCCCAATACTTCCCTTAAGATTAACACTATTGAGAGGAAGAGTTCATTAATTGTCAATCAATGAGTCAATGAGTGGTTCACTCAATGCTTGTTTACATCTTCGAGGAGTCGTTCGTCGATAAGTCCAAGCGATCGGTGAGTACTGAATAGGAGACCCGACAGATGCGACCGTCCTTTCAGACAAACACACCGTTAATATAGGTTTGTATGGATTGAGTGGTGAAGACATACCTCGAGAAGAAGTGCGATATGAGAGGCGCCGACACAACACTGACTCACAGCCAGGGTTTTGATGGACTGGAAAACTGATGACGCGTTCGCTTGCCATCCATTTCGACCACTCTTTTCGCTCGTCTCCCGAAGTCTGACCACAAATACGGCGCCATTAATATCAGTGATAATCAAATCAATTGATACATACCTTTCGTTGAGCTGTTCATCACTCGATGGCAATGGATTTAAGACGAAGTGCATTGAAGTGGACATTGAAGCAGACATTCACCACAAATGAGTGGCCGATTGGTTAACGCATTTCACGTGATGTCCACTCAAGAGACGTGTAATTGAATTGATATATAATTGATATTAAGTGTCAAATATGTCTCAAATGGATAGCAATTAAAACAATGATTGAAATGAAAGTGATTTCCAATGGACTTGACGTCTGTCTGTCTTCACACAAATGTCTGAACAAAACGAGTCAATCATTGACTGCATTCAAAACTATTCACTACTGAGTGTTGTCTTAGCCTCACAGAGGTCGCTGAGAGAGCAGTTCACACCAATGCTATTCAACGCAACCAATCGTGTAGTCAATCGTGTCAAGAGAGGGCGCGTCAATCGTCGTCTCCCATCAAACGCTGTCATGTTTTTACGCTTTTTATGCAAAAGTGTTGTAATAACTCATGAAATAATGCATTCATAACTCACTGTATTTCATAGAAACACTCAATTGAATGCATATTCTGCTCATCAAGTAATCACTATTTAGTTGTTTTCAGCAAAATTGTATTCAAATTTATAAATCAATTTCAAGTCATTTCAAGTGTTTTATTAAAACTATTTCTATACTCACTTCAAATGCAATGACAATTGAACAGAGATTTGATGAAAATAAATACAAACAATAAGTGCACGAAATTAGTTATCATTTGCTTTCATTTTATTAATGAGTAGAAGAGTCTTGCGGTCGTCGACCACATCACCCAAAGTAACCGATTTGTTATTACAGCCAACAGTGGGACATCTGACTGATGGCGGGTGACCACCACTGCCAACCCTGCTCTCGAGCACTAGTCTCAACTGTTCCCTATCGTAGATATGCCCGCATTTCTTGTTCTTCACCGGTCTTGAGATCTCTTGCTTACTGAACGGATCGATTGGAATCTGGTTTTGTTGAGTGTCTGATATAATCATGTCTTCATCATCCGATCCATTATCCATAGAATCGGCGTTGAATTCATTCAACACTTCCATCAATTTCTTGTAGTTGTCGTCGTCTTCGTGGTTAGTGTTGCGCTGAGCACTCGTTTGCTGCAACTTCTCATCAAATATATCACTGATATTGGTATTGATAAGCGTCTGATCGTCTGAATCATCGGATCCTGCGTTCAATTGACGGATCTGTTGACATAAGTAAGAAATGGTATGATCTGTGCGTTAGTCACATATTGATGGTTAAAAGTATCGGCAGATGTGATGGATTAGAGACATAGTTATCTGTATGAACGGAGGCCACAATGCTTTCGTTGATGGTGTGCTTCAATTGGATCAGTTGTGTCATGTGTTGAGGCAATGCATCACTGAATCGCTTCCAGTCGGACGGCGAGCCATTCTTGTCGAAGAACTGGTTGTGTTGAGTGTCGGCCCTATTGGTGGCCATATCTGTGACCAATTGCTGGGCTAAGAGGCAGTAGTCGAAGAGCTGCTGACACTCAAGCCTTTCCTCACTATAGCTCATCACTCGCTGACTGACTGCTAATTGTAGTGACAATTGAGTGTCAATTGGGAGTCAATTGTGTGGCAAACGATCATCATTTCAAAACACAATTTACCGCTCATTTGGGTTTGCATTGAGTGCCACACAAATGACGTGCCATTCACTCATTGAGTGTGCAGTGAATGGCATTGAGAGCTAATTATTGGCTCAAAAAGTGGCGATAGTTTGCGATCTGACGTCAAATGTAAACTTCAACTGAAGTCTAGTCTCGAAAACAAGTGAACCATTGGTTTGCCATAAGATTTAGTGTTTAGTTTGCATTGACTGTCAAGTAGTGAGGAGTGAATGAATGCATTCAGTCATACCATTCATACCATTCATACCACTGACACTCAATTGAATTGAATTGAAGTCCGTTTGCAAACTAGTGATACACTCCTCACATCTGCACCAATGGCTTTGAAAGACTCGCCGATCGCTAAACTATACCTCTTCTGCTATAACCTGATCCAGTTCTTCGGGTAATTGATGTTTGACTCTCTAATGAATTGATTGCATGTAACGATGGCTTTGATTGTCTGTCGCACGGATCAGTTGGTCGTATGGATTAGCAGTGGTTTTGTGGCATTTCGTACAAAAGGGTCACTTCACGGATGTGTATCTCTCGGTGCAGACCTCTGTGTCCATCTTCCAGACACTGCAACTCATAGAAGTGGTTCACTGTGTGGTCCGTCTGGTGCCGTCCAACGCCTTCCAGACCTTCATCCAAGTGTTGTCCCGATTAGTGGTAGTTTGGGGTATACTTCTGCCGGTGATTGAGACGCGCAATGGCTTAGGAGTACCGATGCTTCTGATCGCGTGGTCTATCGCAGAGATGACTCGTTATCTGTATTACGCGCTCAATATCTACAATATGGTGCCATATGTGCTCACTTGGCTCCGGTATACTCTCTTCATAGTCCTCTACCCGATCGGTGTGTCGGGCGAACTCATAACCATCGTGTCTGCCATCCCCTACATCCGTCACCGCAACCTATGGGCCATACATTTGCCTAACTTTGCAAACATTTCCTTCTATTACCACTATTTGCTGGTAATTGTAATCTTGTCGTACATTCCCTGTGAGTATCAATGCATATAATAATTGCAATTTAATTGTTTTGCACTTTTTTGTCAATTACTAATTGATTTGTGTTTCAGTTTTCCCTCAATTATACCTCTATATGATTGCTCAGAGAAAGAAGATTTTGGGCAACACTTCCGTCACCGCTTGCCATAAGACTAAGTGACCACTAGTGCAATAAATACTGTTAGTTTGCTTTCATTTAGGACATACTGTTGACCAGGTTTTGGGTATTTTTATATTTTATTAGTTATACAATACTGTATATTTTTCGATTAAATTGTTTATTTTTTAATAAAAAACAATTCTGATTTTTTGATTTTTAAGTTTGTTGCTTATAATTACTATACTGTACTTAAGATTTTTGTTTACTTTCCCTCTATGAACTTACGGTATTTTGTTAAGAAAAATTACCGCACATTTCCCTAATTACTGCCAGTTTGTGAACGACTTACGAATGTTTTTAACGATACAATAGGGTACTACTGTAATATAACTGTAAGATACAGTCTCCTTATGGCATTTTATAAATTATACTAATTTAATACCGGTACTTATTTTAAATAAGTTATTTTTGACATTTACGGTATAAAGGTTGATATTAATAGTCTAAATATATTAAGGCCTAATTGACTCTAAACACCGTTATTGAACACTAGTATAAAGTTTATATTATAAACAAATTTTATATACCGGTAAGTTTTTAATTATTCAGTAATATAATACAAGTCTTGGTTATAAATTAGAGATTACAGATAAACACTATATTATCGAAACCGTGTTTAGGAATAAGTTAAGGAAAAGTAAGTTTTATTCAAGATTTCAAGTTACACTAACAGTTATAGTATAACAGTTATACAGTGTATTTTAATTACTCTTTTTAAAGATTTGCATTTTGAAGCCCTCTTTCCCTCATAGCATCTCATTCATGGTTTTTAATTACCAATGATTTAAAATAGACTAGTACACTTTTTAATTTATAAATAAACGTTAATAAAATGAAATGTATATTTATCAAACATAATGTGGTTTTAATTGAAAATTATTTGTTTTAAACTCATTATCGAAAATATGTTGAATTTCCATTTTCTAATGACTCATATTTTATGAATTAAACACAATATAAGAAGTGTTGGAAGAGGAGGTGATGTAAAGCATTGTTTTGTATTTTTTGGCATAAATTCTCAGATGAGAGAGAGAGAGAGAGAGAGAGAGAGAGAGCTGTATAAAGTATATAAAGTATTTGGTAATAATAATATTTCTAAAAATATGTATGAATTGATGTGGTGTTGGGATGAGTGTAAGAGAATGCGTACTAAGAATTGGTGGATTGGTATGAGAGAGTCGGTGCCGATGAAGTGCATAAGGAGTAGATGTCGTATATGGACAAGAATGCCATAAGAATGGTGTCGGAAAACAACAAACTTATGTCTAATCAACAGTTTATGAGAGAAATTACAATAAAATGAATTGTTATCAAGAATCCATTGAATGATTGTCACACACAATGGGATATGTGTTGCTGTGAAACCGGACTCTAACTGAATAGCAATAGAAGTGAGAAAAAAAGTTTATATGAACTCAACGATGGCTTAAATGAATTAGAAGTGACTTTTAAGTGGAAGATAACACAAATAGGTATGAGATTTGAGTGCATTTGCAACACATCTTCTTTAGTGCAATGATTGAGAGCCAGAATTGTTTGAAAGCATTAACACTAAGTATTTATATTAATAATACAAACGAAAGGATTAAGAGATAGTGTTTAGAAAGCGATGCTCTCCTCCAGAGGCAAGACTAGTCCAAGAGATGGTTGCGCCGCGCAGTCAGTCATCTCATCTCAAGTCACTTAATATTAATTTCTTTTTGTTTTGTTCTCTTTATAAGATTTTCTTCATTTAAACGCATTCTTCAAATAGTTTTTTATTCTGTTTGAGTATATTTGCGAAAAATTAAGTTTCATTTTATTACTTAATTTCATTGTGTATAACCCTATGCACAGTACATTGAATGGGAAGGTCTGAATGGGCTGTAAAATAGTCGCACTGTTTGGCACAGACTATCAAATTCAGAGATTCTGTGAATGCGATTGAAGCCAAAAATGAATCACAATTTTAACGTTTTAGTTATAACTGGCTTTCAATCTCTCTCTCTTATAGTCTTAGAGTCTGTGATATAACTTGTATTTGAATTTATTTATTGGTTAAGAATTGGATTCTTGATTTGAAACTTAATTTATTTATAAATTCCTAATCGTATTTGTCATACAAAATACTTTCATCTCTTCCAACACTTTTAAACTCAAAGAATTTATTTTTATATATCCTCTCAAAATAATCTATGAATTCCTATTTTTTCAAATAATTGGTAAATGAATTTTAAATCTAATGCTTTTGAAAATAAACTAAATTACTGTAATTGTCGTCTATTTTACTAACAAATTATAATTTCCTTACATTTTCAGATTCTTCCACAAAAACATTTGAACGGATTTGTTGTTCAAATGATTATTATATAAATATTTAGTTTATATACAAAATACATATATATTTGGATTGATTTGATAATCGCATAAATGTCTCAATTAACGCACCAAATGCCACAACAATCACCACAAGTGCAGCAATTGGTCGCCAATCAGACAGTTATAAACGGCGGACGCTTTGACTTCGACGACGGCGGCACTTACTGTGGCGGATGGCATGACGGCAAAGCACACGGACATGGAATCTGTACGGGACCTAAAGGACAGGGAGAATATTCCGGTTCGTGGCACTATGGCTTTGAAGTGAGTGGTGTGTATAAGTGGCCATCCGGTGCTACTTATGAGGGTCAGTGGCAAAACGGCAAACGACACGGCATTGGAGTTGAATACAGAGGCAAATGGGTCTACAAAGGAGAGTGGACTCAAGGATATAAAGGCCGCTATGGGGTCAGAGCTAGTCTCTTGTCTACAGCCAGATATGAGGGCACGTGGGCTAATGGCCTTCAGGACGGCTACGGATCAGAGACATATGCTGATGGAGGCACTTATCAGGGTATTTTCAATTGATTGTCATATTTAACATTTTTTCACGAATACAATCTTCAATTGCAGGCCAATGGCTGAGAGGTATGAGACACGGCTATGGAGTTCGTTCTTCCGCACCGTACGGTCACTGCAATATAACCAAAGCTATTGTGACGAGTGCTACCAACGCCTCCCTTCAGTCATTAGACACGGAGGGGGAGAGTCAGGCCGACAACAAGAGAGACTCAGTTCGGGGAGGCTTTGTATTAGTGGCCAGAAATAGCTTTCGAGACAAACGAAGGAATTCATTGGTAGAGAAGTCGTCTAATTTGAGGACAAATTTGTTCAAAGGCTTACGACTCCGCAAACAACGATCTACCGGTGATATCGATTTAAAGTCAAGCAAATCCAATACCCCTTCGCTGGTCAGTTCGAGAGAGGCGTCAGAGAGTGGAAGTGCCGCCTCTTTCAAAGAAGCCGATCAAGACGTCGGTTCTAACGCAAGCTTTTTGTCCCAAAACGGAGACATCAGTGATCCGACCACTACTGAGACATATATGGGTGAGTGGAAGAACGACAAGAGGTGTGGGTTCGGAGTGTGCGAGCGCTCAGATGGGCTCCGATATGAGGGCGAGTGGTATAACAACAAGAAATATGGATACGGAGTGACCATTTTCCGTGACGGAACCCGCGAAGAAGGGAAGTATAAAAACAATCAATTGGTTACGAATGTGAGGAAAAAGCATCTCTTCGTCATTCGGTCGTCGAAAGTGAGGGAAAGGATAGAGTCGGCGGTCGTGGCCTCACATAGAGCTCAACAAATAGCGTTACAAAAGGCAGACATCGCTATCTCGAGGACAGCCACCGCTCGTGGCAAAGGAGAACAGGCAGACTTCGGGGCGAGTTCTGCACGCAATGACTCGCAGATGGCCTTCATTACTGCCAAACAATACGGCGGAACAGATATAAGTCAATCGCATTCCTTAGACGCGCCGCTCAGACGACGGCTCTCCGACTTCTCGCAGATCCGCCGCAACACTCGCGACGGCCCTCACGACCACCGGAACGCCATTCAACAGACAGCCCTTCAACAGACAGCTCTTCAACAAACAGCCCTTCAGCCCAACAGACAATTCTTAGACCCAAACGAGCCTTTCGGCGGAAGACGCGGATCTTTCCGAAGTCAGAATCAGTCGGCGTTAGAGTCTCAGGGGGTTCATCCACACCAACAACACGCCAATCGACTGCAGCCACAGTTACCACAAAACCAAATACAACATCATTTGCAGCCACAGAACTATAACCGACAGCAACCGACTGTCCATTTGCCTCACCAGGCAGTCCATCAGCACCAGAACTATCAAACACCGACACCGAACGACCCGTTCGGGCAGACATTCAGTGACCACTTCGATCAGTACCGGACTTTAGTGTCGAGATATTCTAATATTCAGAAACAAAGATCACTGGATCAATCATTTCCGTCTAGTATATCATCTAATTTTCAAAACCCTATAAACAATAGAATTCCTAATTATAATAATCCGTCGATAGAATCGACACCTTTTAGTGTGAATAGAAATGCAATGAATAATCCGATGAATGTGTTGTCCCAACAGACGCCCGACTCGGGTGTAAGCCTTGAAGAATGCCTTAACCGCCGCACCGGTACTACAATACCTAATGTGTTGAACCGTTCGTCAAATAATAGCGAAGACACGTTCGACGAGTCGTCGCAACCAAAACACTGGCGAACGGCGTCTCTCTATAGACCAACCGCCGCTCAAAATCATAACCAGTCGGGAGGCGCCGGTACGTCCAGTGGGACTACGGGCGGACTAAAACGTAAGCCATCCCTACAGCCAAATGTTGTGAAACAAGTGAATAAACCGATTATGACTCGCGAAGAAGTGTCTGTTTTGTCACATAATCGTCGAGAACAGCAACGAATCGAATTAGAAATGAAGGAAAAGTTATCTCGAAATCCATTTCTCTATTTAATGAATCCTCAGTTCACTAATTGGTTGAGTAGACAACAGTTGGTTATGTTAGTCCTTGTTATCAATATATCGTTAGCCATACTATTCTTCAAGTTATTGATTTGAGAACTCTTTCAGTTTTAATCAATTTTTCAATTGTCAACACATTTTCCCAACAAATCAATGATTTAACGGATTATTTGTCAACTTTTTGTTGTTGTTTTATAGAATTAAACCAATTTGTTTACAATGAATACAAAACTAATGTTAAATATTGTTATTTCTCTATTTTTCTGATTGTTTCATATATTGGTTCTTATCTGAGATTAAATTATAATGAAGTTATATGAATGCAAATACAGAATCAATGAATATTCTATTGAAATGTTTATAATATGAATACCTATGCCGTCCACTTTAATATGAATAATATCTGATAAACAAATTATTATAAATATATTAAATACAATAAAATGTTTAAAGAATTTGCAATGAATTTATATCAATTGCCATTTATTTTGTGGTTTTGTTGTATTCATCGTTTGGAGGTTTTGTTCAATACATAGAGTACTAGAAATAACTTATTGGCAAAACGCCCAAATCATAACATAATGAAAATTATGTGTAAATAAAAATAGTTCCGATCCTTTCAAGAGGTAAGAATTTGTTAACTAAATCCAGTCATCAAAACTATTTATAAATGTATAGTTTACGACAAAATTTTCATCCGCTTTAGTTTTTAATAAGAATTTCAAATAAATAAATATTAAATATTAAACCATTTCAATGAATAGCGGATTATGAGAGTATTTTACTTATTTTACATAAGTAATAATAAAGCTAACAATTTATTAGTAAAACATATTTTTAAAAATAAATATGATATTCTGTATATGTATAACAAATGTTATACCTCAGATATAATTTATAATTTAAGAGTTTTCTTAATTCTTTCTCTTACTATGAAACTACTAAAAACTCTTAAAATTTATGCTAAAAGAGTCATTATTATTCTAATTATTTAACTCACCTAGTTAGTATTAATATATCTTATAGTTTTATAAATACTGTCCTAAAAATAATAAAATATCACAAAAAACATAAATTAAATAATGTAATATATTTATAATTAAATACTTGTTCAGATACTGAATCAGAATAAATTAAAAATGTTGTTACTTATAGTTTTGCACAACACTATATACAGTATTAACGATGTAAGTATAACATACATTATAAATATATTTATATGAAAATTAATAATGCAAAAGTAATAATGCAATAAATATGTTATTATAAATAACTATTGGTTTAGAGGATTAATGAAAAGTGTTGATACTGTACATATACAGACAATTATTTGTAGTAATCTTCTAAATTTATTGCACATAATACTATAATGAGTTTTACATATAAACTAAAATATTTGACCACAAATTCATATAATAAGCATTATTATTGATAATAATTGTGGACTGTATTAACAGATGTTGAATTAGGAAATACTATAATATAGTAACTATATCAAAAGTCATATAATTTTATATTATTATTATATTATTTTTAGTTTTTCAATTTTAAATTAATATCATGATAATTACGATAATTACTTGCATGAAGAGTATTTAGATTTAATCCTAGTATATTTTAATAGAAGTATTCTAAAATGTACGTATTTCTAGCATCACTATTATAACACTAACTTGTAAATGGGAATAGCTTACGAGTATTAGTACCGTGCTAATTTAGAACTGATGTAATATTTAGACTCGAGATTTACATACAATATAATATTAAAAACTTATATTGACATTTATGATATTTTTACAAATTTATAACGAAAAGAAACATATTTAGCCTATAATTAAAATGATTACATTAAACTTTTTATTGTTTAACGTTTTAACATCCTACTAATACGAACCCAACCTCGGACTCGTTTGTATGTAAAGGGTTTTAATATTAAACAATTTACTAGAATTACATGTTCTATTAAAAAACAAATATATATATAAGATCTCAATTAAAATATTGATTTTGATTAATGTTACTAGAATAAATCTGACTAGAATAAATTTCAAATAATAGATCTAATTTGGTTAATACAAACAATATATCTTTGATAATTTAAGTGTTAATGAGAATTCATTAAAATAATTATTTAAGTATCTCATTAATAAATTATCATTAATAAAATAACTTTCTACAGCACCGGTATTACAAAATAAAAATTTAAATAAAAACATAAACTTATTTTAAATAAGTCTATAGAGGGAGGAAGTCGTCTCTCTCTCTCTCTCTCTCTCTCACTCATTCGGTTGTGTAAACAATTGAATTAATACATTTGATAAGATTAAAAAATTTCCTAAAAATTAGATTTACTTATTTTATCTATACTTTGCATTGTATTCACATTGAATCAAGAAATGCCTCAAAACAGAATTTGAACAAATGAAGCAATTTTACTACAGTTTCAAGTTTATTGTCACAACAAAATGATTTTAAAAGACAAATAAAGAAATTTCAATTATTCAACAATAATGGAAACAATTAATGGGAAATATGACAAAACATGTTTTATGCAAAATGTTTCTATAGATCCTCGACTTTAAAATTATTATTTATTTTGTCTTAAATCAATACAAGAATTGATTGCGATTCTGATAATGTATAAAACTAAATTTATAAACTTTTTGAACTAATTTTTAACGATATATTTGACTGAAATATAGTAACTCTAAACGCCTTCTGTTTGGTGTCTTCTAAATATAGACATTGAAAATGAAATTAATTTTATATTTAAAAATGTTTGTCAAAAAAATAGTTGAAGTGTTGAGACAAATACTTCAACACATTTGTTGTATTAGTGCTAATAATAACCTATAATTCTATGGCTTCTGAATCCATATTAATGCCATTAAACATATTATTATTAATAATAATTTAGGGGTATTGTGTTTGCTCATCGCAAGTATTAATACAATGTATAACATTTATATTATAACTAAACAATATACTGTATAAAACAATTATTGACTTACCAAGCATCCCTAAAATCTCCTTAAACTGTAAGGTTTCACCACTATATCATTTGATATTTCTATAATATATATAAAATATAATTGATTTTAATAATAAATATTTTAATTAAATTAAATTATAAAATTTAAATACAATATATAAATAATATAACACACGAATAGTTAAGTTCATAAGATAATGATCCTAGTTTCCAAAGTATTTTGATTTTTCAAATTTAGACTTTTTTCATTTTACGGCAAACTATAATTTTAAAACATTTTTATCGATATAAATGTATTAAAAATGAGTAAAAAATTTAAAAAAATAATTATTGGTCATTTCGTTAAATAAATATGAGTACTGGAGTGGTTTTAGTGAAATGATAAACTTTATGATATAAAGTATGGAAAAAGAGGTTAAGAGTGAAATGTATAATAAATGCAAAGTTTAAGCAATTGATGATTATTGTATTTACATTTTTTGGTCAAATAAATTAAATGTTTTTTACTTTTATGTTCATCACAAGCAACAAAGATCTGTATAGTCAACGAATGTTAGGTTTTTGTGTCATATTTTAATTATTAAATGAAATTTTGAAAACCAAATTTCAACAAACATTAGAAAGAAATGTTTAAGATATTTGTCCCCAACTGTCGAAACAATGATTGTTATTAATTATAAAAACATATGATTACAAATGCGATTAAAACAAATTATGGTTATTATAATTGAACACAAGTGACACAATTGCTTTTGGCATTATATTTACTCTTATTTAATATACAGGTTTGTAATTTAATAACAACGATGGTCTGTAATGTAGCAAAAAAATCTCATAATCTTATGCTACAGTTCATGTCTAACCTATTATTTTTTATAATACATCTACATCTACACAGAACATTCATATAAAATCGTTTCTAACTAAGTTATGAACACAAATTAAACAAAATTAGAGATGAACTCAAAAAAATTATTAAATGAAAATACTGATATCTTATAGAAAAGTGAATTTTTCTTATATTTTGAAAATTAAATTATTGAGACACTTATGTTTTAACTAAAATATCATCTCTGTATAAGATTTAATGAAGACGATTTAAAATAATTGATTTTATATGTAGTTTACATCAATGTTTGAGATGAAAGAGGAAATTAAAAACAAAAATGACATAAAAAATATATATATAACATCAAGACTGCCAAATAAATAATGCTTTTTACTATTGGATACCCATGGTTGGACAATGTTAAATTTGACAATAATAACCAATTACCTTTCGAAATAATGTTGTTAGGTTTTTAAAATTAAAATGTTTAGAAAATAATATGAACTGACTACAAACAAATACTGCAAATGTGTAGGTGCAGAGGTGTATGATATGTTAAAGGTCTCTGTCCTACACCTTTCATTGTTTAGGTGTTGTTCTCTATCATAAATTCAGCATTTAAATCAATATTTAAATTATCTACAATACAGTCAATATAAAATAAAGTAAAAATAGTATTGTGTATTTTAACATACAAATAACAATAATAGAGTACGCTATTTTAAAAATACAAATAAATAATATTTATTAATCTATTAATAAATGGCATTGTATGGATAATATTTATAATGTTATATGTCATAAATATATTTAATTAAAATTATTATTAAGGCTTAATAATATTAATCAAAAAATAATATTTTTTAATACACATTTTTATATTTAATAATTTAAATTGCTAAAAATTTATCTCTAGTATTAGCATAACTAGATTAAATTATAGATACAGTAAATATGAAGAATTAAAATCAAGAGTGACTTATATATTGATTGCTTCATATTTATTTATAATTTCCAAATTCCTAATACACTAACGCTTATACTTTTCTGGTCATCACTAAAATATTTTTAAATAATTGATTAAATGCTATAAATATTTATAAACTATAATTGAACTCAATTTCCCGAAGAAATTCCACTAAAAATATTTATGTATTTATTTATTATTGTAAGAAAATATTTATTTAATTCAATAAATATTTATAAAAATCATAGTACTTAACACAACAATTGTATGAAATATTACAAATATTTAAAATTAATGCGAACCTATTA